AAAAAAAAAAAAAATCAAAATAATAATAACAATATAATACAAAAGCAAGAAAAAAAAAATAAAATAGAATGAAAACCAACTGTCCAACACCTAATGATTTTCAGCTACAAGCTCAAGAAAACATTTTTTGCCCCATCTAGTGCACCACATGCCCCAACAAAAGAATAAAGAACAAGAGTAAAATATGGACTAGACCTAAAAGCTTGTGATGGAAGATGCACAACACAATTCCTAACCATAAATTGGCTTTTATAGAACCAACCACTCATTTTGATATTCAGATAATGATACATAAAACTGCTGCAAAAGTCTTCTCAAGACAATCTAATATGAGAACTCATGACCTCTGGTTGATATATATTTCCTCACCCAAATTGCTATATCCTCGGCACAGGCCTGAGCCTGAGGCGTCTTGAGGAGCATGTCAAGGGTGGCGAACTCATGAACTGTATCCTTGTACTCGAGAACTGGAGCGTCCACATTCACCTTGCGGAGCTCTTCAGAGTATGCGATCGCTCGGTCTCTCATCCAGTCGTGATCGGCCACGACTGTGAGCGTTGGGGGCATGAATTTAAGTGGCGGCCGCCTTCCCGGCACCAGGGGGTTCGCTGCCGGATGGTCGAGGTTGAACTCCTCTTCGGGTAGAAAGAGCTTCCAGGCAAGTATGCACATGGTTTTGTCGTAGAAGTAAGAATTGGCGAGCTTTATTTCCGAATGGGTTGGAGCATTTCCTATAAAAAAGGGATACATGAGAACCTGCGCGACGATCTTGATGGGATGGAGGAGTTTTCCAGCCTCGACTGCCTTCCGTGCGACGAAATCAGCAATGTTGGCGCCACAGCTAACCCCAAGAAGAACACATCTGTTCTGACATACAAGAATCATGCGGTTAGGACTGAATTATCTTTAACAATTTGTAAGACAATGGTGACACACAGCATAAGGCTCCAAATTGTAGAGAAGAAAACATTTGTTTGGTTTGCTGAAAAAGGAATGAAGTTATAAAAAAAATGCAATCTAAAAGTAATGTATTGTATGTGAAATAACTGAAGTTATTCAGTTCAATATAAAATAAAAGCAGGACTCACACTTTCATGTTTGGTTATAAAAAAAATAAAATCAATGTAAAGTGCATAGCTGGCGAATAGACGGTAGCGGTCGGCGGCGGTGGTGGTGATTTAGATGGCTGACTGGATAACAGGTTGCCAGCATCAAGGGCGTCGTCATGCAACTTTTTACACAAAGCAGTGTATTTAAAATTTGCCCAAATCCAGTGAATCCCAAATAAATTGAAAATGAATTAAAGAATGAATTCTAAATGCATTATAATTTTACAGCGCATTTGAAATTCATCCAACCAAACAACCATCAATGAGTTTATATAAAATTAAAATAAAAACAAACTAACGCTTATTATCCAAATTAAAAACAGCAAGGAGATTTTAGCCAGAAAGGCTACATAATTCCTCCTCCAGTGAAAAGCTGATTTGGTTTAAGTTACTGTTAACCTAAATAACTTATAGAACTGCTAAGCATGTTAACATTAGACTGCTACAATTTCTTCCTTCCCATTCTACAAAAATTACATGCTCAGCTTAGCAATGCAGAATCAATGGGCGCAATGTTCTACTATTTCCATCAACATGACAAATACATTCTGAACAATTTTTATTGGGAACTTCCCATGGGTGTAAGAAAGATAAAATTTCATCACTTAGTGGATATCTACAAATCAAAGTTAGTAGTCATTCAATTCATGTTAGATGGCCTTCTCCTAAAAAAGATATACCCAACGCCATAATCTATCTTACAATTTATTTTCTGTCAACTATCTACGCATCAGAATGTATGAAAAGACAAAATTCAAACTCAAATCCATGTCCCTGCACCCATTCCCAACCCACCTCATATTGCAGCACCAGCTCTCCACATTGCCTCCAGCATTATTCAGGGAAACTGACGTTTATTCTATGAAATGAAAAGGTAAACATTCAATTCAAATAGATCAGAACCAAATAATGGCTAGCAGCTATATTTTTTTAAACAGATTTTATTAGGAAGATTTACATGCATGTCACCCAATTCCTGTGTATTTATATATCTAACACCTAAAATTCAATTTTTACATATAATGCCACCTTACCTAAGTATGAAAACGTGTATTTCACTTTTTAAAGTTAAAGTGGTGATATTTTTTACGTGATATGTCATAAAGAATAACTCTCTACTCACTAGAAAAGGACAACAACATATCTCAACAAACTTTATGTCATCAACACATCATTACCCTTTTTCTCTTACATACCTTCTACACATCTCTTTTAGCTTTATAAATACCAGTACCTAAAGTTAACACAAGTAAGGAAATATTAGCATTATCTGCTTTACCTACTTGCTTCTCCTTTTTCTTCTTCTTTGTTCATTTCTTATCTGTAGCTACACGGTAAAAGCTTTAAGGGACTATCCTTTGATTTCTTCCTTGTCGCCCCTTTCTTTACATGGTATCAAAGCCCCCTTGCCTCACCGCACAAATGGAAAACTCATCCTCGTCTATCAGTGAAGGTTTAGACTCTCTCAGCATCGAAGAACAACCAATCCCTCCCTCTCTCAAGTTCCTCATCGTAAACATAAAAAATGTCATCAACTCTCTTTCAACCGACAACAATCCCTTGTGGCGCTCACAGGTCCTTAAAATCATTAGGGCAAATGGCTTCACCGGATTTATTGACGGATCGATTCCCAAACCACCCACCACAACACTCAATGTCGATGGCTCAAGCAATCCCAACCGAGCGCACAAAACCTGGATGTTGGTGGACCAGAATCTTGTAGTTGCCATCCTATCCACAATATCAAAGACCATACTATATTATATCGTGAAACTTGTAACCGAAGGGAGATTTGGACTACACCGTAGAAACGTCTACAAGCTATTTATAGATTCAAGATCATACAACTCAAAAACGAGCTACACAATGTATTCATGAAGAATCAAACCATGGCGCAATATTTGACACAAATCAAAGTCATAGTAGACAAAATAACTGCCTCCGGTTCAGTCGTAGTTGTCGAAGACAACATACTCTAAACTCTCCTAACAAGCGTTCAAAACAGCTATCTGAAGTTCTCACACCCCTATCAGCCTTGAGGACCTCTACTCCCTCTTAAGAACCGAGGAAATCAACATATCCAATGAAAACAACACTAACCCACCGTCAACAGTATCTCATATGGCTCTCTATTCCCAAAGAGGACGTGGTTGCACCTACTAGCAAGGACGAGGAAGGAATACCAACCTATCAAGAAAACCACCCGATCAGCACCCCCAGCAACAATAATGCTCTACCACATCAAGAACGTACCAAATCTGCTACAAAAGGGGCCACCTCGCATCTCACTGCTAGCACTGATTCAATATCAACTGTCAGCCTACCAACCCGAGAAACACCAGCTCTTCTCACTTCATCCAATCAAAACCAGGATAGGTACTTAGATATTGGTACTTACAGCCACCTCACCACCAATTTTAACGCCCTTCATCAAGCAGAGCAATATCATGGCAACGAACAAGTCTTCGTTAGCAACGGTAATACCGTACCCATACAACTCTCCGGCACTGGCATACTTCCAACTCTATCTCGTAAGCTCATTCTCTCAAAACTACTTCACACTCCTCAAAATACACAATCTTATCTCCATCTCCCAACTCACCATTGACAACAATTGTATCATTCTCTTTGACGCCTAAGACTACAAGATTCAGGATCGAACCTCTCGACAAACATCCTCCATGGCCTATGTCGTGATGGACTTTACCCTATTCCCATTACCAAACAAGTTATGCTCTCAAGATTCACCTTAGCCGACGTTAAGCATCATCGACTCGGTCATCTCCACAAAGAAGTCCTCAACACTATTTCCACACAACAGCCACATTTATGTATTCTGAAATCTATTTCATTTTGCAACTCATGTACTACAGCTAAAATACATCAACTACCTTTCTCCCACTCTAAACAACATACCTACAAACTACTATAACTTATTCATACAAATATATAGAGACCCTCCCCACATATTTCTAATCAAGGATTCTATTTATATGTTACCTTTGCGGATGATGCTACACGCTATACTTGGGTTAATTTCATGACCCACAAATCAGAAGTTCTCACCCACTTCATAAACTTTAAACAACAAACTGAAAATCAATTCAAAACACACATAAAATGCATATGATTCGACGACGACAGTGAATACTGCAACCGTCAAATCAAAAATTACCCACTCACCCACGACATTATCCATCAATTCTCCTCACCCTACACATCGGAACAAAACGGCCTAGTCAAACGGAAGCACCGCCAGAGCACTCATGGTCACATCCAATCTACCACCTCGATATTGGTCTGACACCATCCTCACGGGCGTATACCTAATCAACCACATGCCCTCCGCAAATACTAAACATCACTCCCCATATCAACTCTTCACAGCAAATCACCTGACTACACTCACCTTCGGGCTTATAGATGTGCTTGCTTCCCATGGTTTTCCCCACACACCCGAAATAAACTAGAACAACGTTCGACTCCTTTCTCGGTTACTCTGACAATATAAAAGGCTACAAATGTCTCAACCCCGCCAATGGTTTACATTCTCATCTCCAGTCACGGCACGTTTAACGAACACTCTTATCCCACCAACACACACCAAACCACCACCAACCTATAACATCCAATCCAAACCCGCCTCCCTTTACGCTCCTTCCTACCACTATCATCCACATATCAAAATCCACTCCCTCGTCTCCAACACCAACTGAACCAATCACCGCAAATTCCCTTCCCACATCACCTCTGGTACAACCAGATTCCACCAACTCAACCTCCTCTCCCCCAAACTCTCCAATATTGATCAATCCTACTGCTCCTCCAACTCAACCAACTCGATACAAAACGGGCTCACTAAAACTAAAATCCATCTTCAATCTACAGCATCTCGTTACACATGATTATGAACCACTAACGTTTCAAGAAGCAAAGCACTCTTTGGGTACAAGTCATGCAAGAGGAGCTCACAGCACTATAGAAACAATCTACTTGGACACTTGTCCCTCCATCAGTAAATCAGCCCATCCTAGGATGCAAATGGACGTATACGATCAAGCACGACCATGACGACAGTATCGCTCGGTACAAAGCCCAGCTCGTCATATGCGGTTATCAGCAACAATATGGACAACATTTCACCGGCACCAAAATCCCAATTGTGAAACATCCCACCATCCACCTCTTTTAACCATTGTTTTCCAACACCAGTGGCAAGTTATGCAGCTCTCTCCAACGCATTTCTCCATGGCAAACTCCACGAGATCATCTACATGCAGCAAGCTCCAGGCCACCTTAAAGCCCAACACCCCAAACAAATATGCCTCCTTCGAAAAACCATCTACGGCATCAAACAAGCTCCGCGTCAGTGGTTTAATACATTCACAGGTTTCTCCTCCAACTTGGATTCCGCACAAGCCAAGCCGACTCCGCTCTGTTTACACTCCACATCAACTCCACCGCACTCTACCTATTACTCTACGTGGATGACATTAACAACCCCAACGTCATAGACGAACTACTAACTATGTCGAAGCATAAATTCTCCATGAAAAGTTTGGGTTTTGACTCCACTTTTCTTGGCATTTCCACTATTCACACCAATCAAGGTATGTTTCTTCATTAAACACCTATGTGTTGGAGATTCTCAACAAAGCCGGCCTAGCTGATTGCAAACCCACACCAAACCCCATACACTTCTCCAAAAACCTTCCTACCAAACTCAATCAGGCCTACCCCAACCCATTCCTTCACCGACAACTTATTGGATCTCTCCAGTACCTAACAATTATACATCCCGACATCACCTACGCTGTCAACATTTTATCCAAACACCTCCAACAGCTCCTAAGCCTTCATTTCCACCAACTCACGCGGCTTCTCCGCTACATCAAAGACACCCGACTCCAGCTGAGCAGACAATCCTCGTGACTGCCATTCTACTATAGGTCACTGCTCATTCATAGGCAACAACCTTATCTCATGGAAAGTTAAGAAACAACCAACATGCAAGTTCCTCAGTTGGGACCGAATATCGTGCTCTATCAAACGCCACCATGGATGTCATCTGATTTCGTCGACTTCTCCAAGATTTTCAAATCCCCAGACCATCTTCCACGGTTATATATTGTGATAATAAATATGCTCAATCCATTGTACGCAACCCAGTATTTCACACCTGCACCAAGCATATCGAGATCGATTAACAATTCGTTCGAGAGAAACTTATGTCCATGGAGATCAACATCCACTACATTTCGACCTCCAATCAAGTAGCAGACACTTCACCAACTCACTTCCAGCACCCCACTTCACCTTACTTCGAGACAAGCTGACACTTTAGTAGAACCAAGCATCAGCTTGATGGGGGGTCATAAAGAATAACTCTCCATTCACTGGAAAAGGACAACACCGTATCTCAATCAACTTTTTGTTATCAACACATCATTACCCTTTTTCTCTTACATACCTTCTACACGCTTCTTTTAGTTTTATAAATACCTGTACCTAAAGTTAGCACAAGGGAATATTAGCATTATCTGCTTTATCTTCCTGCTTCTCCTTTTTCTTCTTCTCTGTTCGTTTCTTATATGTAGCTACACAGTAAAAGCTTACAGGAACGATCCTCTGATTTCTTCATTGTCGCCCCTTTCTTTACAATATAAAATATTTGGGTGGTATAAATGTATAAAGTTTAGGTGTTAGTTATGTAAAGACAGACTAGGGTGGTATGCATGCAAATGCCCCTATTTTATTATCACTTCAACCTAAAATTTTTGGAGAAACACAAATGGTTGAGAGGCAGTGGTAAAACATATCTCAAAAATTGATTTGGTTTATTTAGCTTTTAAAGCTTCAAACGTTTCATCAGAAGATCTTCTTAACAGTGTCGAGTAAAAAAAGTTAAAGTGTATGGTGTTCGTTTATGAATTTGTTGCTCTTAACAGAAATTTGGACAAGAAATTTGAAAAAGAAGGTAACTCTAATTGGACATATGTCAAGAAAAACAAATGAAGTGCAACGAGCATAAAAATTGAAAAGATCTACCATCTACATGTTTTTTTAACAATTAAGTTATGTAAAGATGGAAGTTCTACAGGATAAAGCTAATCTAATTGACGCTGGATCTGCTACAAACTGCAAAAAAATTATGCAGCTAATAAACAATGAGGTAATGTTGTCTAACTGAATAAGCAAGAAGAAATGAGACGTAAAGGCAAAAAGAAAGGAAATGTCAGATTTAGTATGTTCAAGCAGTTGTATGAGGCGTTAGCTATAGTAAATGGTGCAGTAAAAAGAACGAGAATACAAAGACTTGAGAAGAAAAAGGCCACACAAATCCTAAGAAAAAAATTAGGGGCATTTACATACATGCCAGCCACGTGTAATGTATTTACATATCTAAAACCTAAACATTCATATTTACATGCATTCCACTAAAATCCTTAACATCACATCAAAAATACCAACATCACTATCTTTTTAAAATGAAATCTAACTTCTTGTACATAGGCTTATAGCACCAAGATGTTATAAGTTTGAGTATCAAACCTTCGGTATTAGACATGTAAATACGCAAGCATTGTGCAGCATATATGTAAATTTCCCAATAAATTATTGCAAAAGTTGGTTAGCAATATCAATGATAGTTATGTAGTAATAGAGTGTAATAAGTTAAGGTCCTAAATAAATTAAAAAAAATAAATAAAAATCAGATAAAAATATTTAATAATTAAACACCACTAATCCTAGAAATTGATTTGCAGTATATTCAGCTAATCATACGAGTAACTTTGTCAAATTCACTTTAGGTTAAGGCTAGGGCTTTATGCAGCCTCATGTGGTATAAATGAGCATATAAAGGAATAAAGATTGATTCATCAGGTTTCCCACATTACGCTGCTAATTTATGACCACATATGTTCCTATTTACATGGATCATGTTTATGTACCCTAAGAAAAAAAGCATTATAGCTAACTTTTCAATAGCTGCACCTGGTCTGCTTAAGCATAAAATTTTGGTTGCCTGCATAAAGCACATTAAAAATGATTTCCTAAGGAAAAAAATGTACTATGCCGTGTGGGAGGCTAATCAACCCTGTATGCATACAAATAGCAAAAAATATATTTCAATCTCATTCATCATTCGTGCCTAAAAACAATAAGCCCTCAATTCATTAGTAATAAGTCAGGCTGCCTACTAATTGCCATATTTAATTTACCAGGAAATTTATTCTACCTTTTTTTCTCACTCAACCTTGAATATAGACTGCTAATTGCCATATTTAATTTAACAGGTAGTTTATTGTACCTTTTTTTCTCACTCAACCTTAAATATCACTCATGGTGCGCAACTTCCACAAAAAATTTAAAACGTTCAGACATGCTGACCTTCCCAGTCTAAGATAAGAATAGTGTTTTCTCTGTCAGAAGATGTAAGAAGCCAGTTGATAAGACTTTTCCAGTAAATAGGAAAAAAAAACCTAAATTAGTGCATGGTGTGTTGAATTCACGAATAGATTTAACCTACTTTAAATGAAAATTGTGCTCTCATTGAAAGTAGACAACTACAATTAATAGCAAAGATTAACAAGTTGTTTAACATTGTTCTTTTAGCATATCTAAAAAGAGCAAAGGACAGTGATTTAATCTGTCTAAAATGAGAATAATAAGCATTAAATTTTGTTTTAGAGAGAATATAATTGGTAGCATAGGTACTGCAGGCACATACGAATAAAATGTAAACTAGAATAACAAAAGAACAAACTAAAATCAATTCTTAGTACATCTTTTCTAGTTGTACTATAAATTCATCTCAACCTTCTTATTTTTGCAAAGTACTTATCAATGATTTCTTTGTTGCCCAAAAACCAATACATTGGCATCAACACTAAGCCTCCTTCAATCAGTAGGTACAGAAACAATTTCAAGAGGCTGAAAAAAATAAATTAATCCACTCCCAATATAGAGCACGATCGATGATTTCATTAAGTTTCACCAATTCTTATGGAATGTCTTTACTTCGAGATATTTTGAAAGCAACTAAGCTTTTGTCAAAGGAAAGAATCAGGATAGGATGTCTCAATGAATTGGAAAACCTGCCTAGAATTAAAAACTCCTAACTCTCTTGACAATATGAACTAAAAAAGGATCTTTAGCATAGTTGCATGAGTAATTGGGTGCCTATTATCTTTCATCCCGGAAGGTAATGTCCACAATCCTCTTTGAATGATAACCATTCATCATATAGCTCTAAAATTCTTTTCACATGAGATCAAATAAAACCATTAAATTAGACATGCTCGGAGTGATATTCAAGCCAGAGATAACTAACAGATACACGGCCCTCATACTTCAATTAAAATGAACTCTTTGCACCTAAATTTGTGCAACAAAAACAAACAATGAAAATATGAATGAATCAACTGAAGAAAGCTGGAATAAGCAGGCAACCTCCGAAATTATACCTCGATAGATCAGCATGAGCCGCAAGCCAAGGCTCAACAGTGGCAGCCCCAAACGCATCTACAATATGCCTCTGCCTATCCATCTTCCTTGCATCGCCACTCCGTTGATTTCCAATCGATCTGTTACATTCCGCCAAATTGGCTTGTTTGGCTAACCAATGCAGCACGTTGAAGTTGTGATTTTGGGGTTTTTTGTTTCATGCAAAAAATTAATCCCATCATCAAAAGCAGCAGGATACCTACTTTCCGGAGCCAATCTGTAGCCTACGGCGATCACAATCACATCGAGCAGCTTCACGATCCTACGGCAGAAGAAATCGTTCGCCGTGGATGTATTGCTACCGGAAACGAACCCACCACCGTGGAACTGCAAGATCACCGGAAGCCTGCGTGAGAAGGCGTTGTGGCGGATGCCAGGAGAAGGAAGGTATCCTCGATACGCAGCAACGGATCCGGGGTCTTCGTAGCTGCGACGGTCGGCTACGACAGTGGAAGCGCCAGCGAAGTGGCCGTTGGCGCGTAAGGAGAGGTCAGGGCTTGATGCAGGACGGACTTGGTGGGAAGGATCGGGTAGAAAGATGCGGAGGGAGAGGGCTGTGAGTGGGTCGATGTGGATATCCTTGGTGGCGATTCCGTCGGCGGCAAAGGACGGATTTGCTGGTGCGGTGGACTCTTCTGGGCGGGAAGTGATCCCGAATTCGTCGGCGGCGGCGTCGACGCGGGACTGAAGGCGGTGTTTGAGCAGGAGCTTGAAGAATACGCTGTAGAGCTTCACGGCAACACTCGGCATCGCTCTTTTTCAAGGGTTAGGGTTTGGGAGGAGGAGGTCAGGGAAAGGAAGAAGAGGAGGAGGAGGCCGTTGGGAGAGAAGGGAAAGATGAAGAAGGTGGTGACATGGCGGCGATCAAATTCAAAGGTTGAATTGAATGGAAATGGGGAGAAGACACTCTGACCAATTCTCAGTTCTTCTTAGGTCTGGAGAGGAGTAGAGATGCTTCGGTTGTGATTTTCTAGATTTACTTTGAATTTCTTATTGTGCAAAGAGCTAGCACTCCATCATCAAAATATTATTTTGTTTTTACCGATTTGGTTGGGGTCAATCATTTGTACTCTAATCCCAACAAAATTTAATATTTATGTGTAGCACATTGAGTTTCTAATCCCAACAAAATTTAATATTTATGTGTAGCACATTGAGTTTTTTTTTAGTTCTAATTCTACAAATTATAAGATAAAGATGTGCCAATGAGATTTTTAATTATGATATATGATTTGATTTTCATTTTTTTTTTTTTTTACATTTTTAACCTGTTTTTTAAATTATGACAGATGATTTGATTTTTTTTTTCCTGCATTTATTGTCTGTCTATCACGCAAATTTTATATATTCACATCAACAAAAAAATTTGGTATCAGGAGATCGGACACAACTATGCTTACCGACTCCAATGATATTTCGCCACATATAAGTGGGGGACCCATTAAAAAAAATAACAAAAATTTTGTATATATTAGTGCATAACCCGGTCCGAACAAATCCAATGCTTTGAAAATAACCTTGTGCGTCTCTTCGATATCTATTTTCTTCCATCGTCATTGGGTAGGGTTTCGCTGAGCGATTTTTATCTTCGATTTTTGATAGCTAGAGTTTGGTTCGGTTGAAATCCCTCGCAATGTCGGTCGCCGAACGAAAATCATTCATAGTCCCTCTCTCTCGACATGCAAGTCTTTTGATATTATTTGTGAACAACATATCAGTGAAAAATGTTGACGATAGAATCTGAAAATAATGACGATAAGTTTGAAATCAAAGTGAATTTAGTTGTGTTTGAAATGTTGACATTAATTTATGATTCCTTAATTAACTTTATACTTTGAATCAATGACATAATGTTACTTTTTGAGTATTATTTGTGATAGTTTTGTTGTGTTATTGTAAAATTATTCTGGTGGCAACGTTTTTTTTTTGTATTTATTATTATTGTTGATTCTTTTTGTATTGTGGCGATTTTGATGCGCTATTGTGCTCTTATTATGGTAATATTGTCATCTTATTTTGATGGTATTATAGTAGTTTGTAGTGTTATTGGGCTGATGTTATGGTTGTATTGAGGTGGGATTGATGTTGTATTTTCTTCAAATTATGATTATTTTGTGGTGGGAGTATGGAGGTATTGTAATGATATAGTAGTGATATTAATGTGATTTTGCAGTTGTATTGTCTTATTGTTTTTGAAGTATTGTAATGGTTTGTGGTGTTATTGAAGTAAAATTGTGGTTGTATTGATGTGATATTAATGTTTTTTTTTCATATTGTTGTGGTTTTATGGTGTTATTGTGATGATATTGTGGTTGTATTTGTGGTATTATTGCAGTGGTGTTTTGATTGTATTGAAGTTAGATTGAGGTTGTATTTTGTTCATATGGGTTTGTTTTATGGTGTTTATGTAGAGTTATTATAAATGTATTGTGATGATTTTGTGGTGATATTGTCATATTGTTCTTGTGGTATTGTAATAGCTTGTAGTATTTTTGGTGTGGTATTGTGGTTGTATTGAAGCGGAATTAAGATTCTATTTTGTTCATATTTGAGTGTTATTGTGGTATTATTGTGATATTATTGTGTTATTATGGTGTTATTGTGATGTTATTGAATTGTTATTGTAGTTATATTATGGTGATATTGGAGTGGTGTTGTGTTTGTATTGTGGAGTTATTGAAGTTCCCGGTCCGAACAAATCCAATGCTTTGAAAATAACCATGTGCGCCTCTTCGATATCTATTTTCTTCCATCGTCATCGGGTAGGGTTTCGTTGGGCGATTTTTTTCGTCGATTTTTGATAGCTAGAGTTTGGTTCGTTTGAAATCCCTTGCATGTCGGTCGCCGAACGAAAATCATTCATAGTTTCTCTCTCTCGACATGCATATCTTTTGATATTATTTGTGAACAACATGTCCAGTGAAAAATGTTGACGATGGAATATGAAAATAATGATGATAAGTTTGAAATCGAAGTGAATTTAGTTGTGTTTGAAACTTTGACATTAATTTATGTTTCCTTAATTACCTTTATACTCTGAATCAATGACATTATATTACTTTTCGAGTATTGTTTGTGGTAATTTTGTTGTGTTATTGTAAAGTTATTCTGGTGGCAACGTTTTTTTTTTGTATTTATTATTATTGTTGATTCTTTTTGTATTGTGGCGATTTTGATGCGCTATTGTGCTCTTATTATGGTAATATTGTCATCTTATTTTGATGGTATTATAGTAGTTTGTAGTGTTATTGGGCTGATGTTATGGTTGTATTGAGGTGGGATTGATGTTGTATTTTCTTCAAATTATGATTATTTTGTGGTGGGATTACGAATGTATTGTAATGATGTTGTAGTGATATTAATGTGATTTTACAGTTGTATTGTCTTATTATTTTTTAAGTATTGTAATGGTTTGTGGTGTTATTTAAGTAATATTGTGGTTGTATTGATGTGATATTGATGTTTTTTTTTTCATATTGTAGTGGTTTTATGATGTTATTGTGATGATATTGTAGTTGTATTATGATAAATTTGTGGTTGTATTATGGTATTATTGCAGTGGTGTTTTGATTGTATTGAAGTTAGATTGAGGTTGTATTTTGTTCATATGGGTTTGTTTTATGGTGTTTATGTAGAGTTATTATAAATGTATTGTGATGATTTTGTGGTGATATTGTCATATTGTTCTTGTGGTATTGTAATAGCTTGTAGTATTTTTGGGTGGTATTGTGGTTGTATTGAAGCGGAATTAAGATTCTATTTGTTCATATTTGAGTGTTATTGTGGTGTTATTGTGATATTATTGCGTTATTGTGGTGTTATTGTGATATTATTGGATTGTTATTGTGGTTATATTATGGTGATATTAGAGTGGTGTTGTGTTTGTATTGTGGAGTAATTGAAGTGAAGTTGTATTATGGTTGTATTGTGGTGGTATTATGGTGGTTCTGTGGTGATATTCTACTAGTGTTCTTATGATATTTTTTTTTAATGTGATTATGATGTTCTTTTGTGGTAGTACGGTCATATTTGTATCTTTTTAGATTTGTGTTTATAATTTAGTGATTATCATACTTAATCATATTCAATTTATTTTTTAAATGTGCAGTTTTGTGAGATTGGAGATGTTGGTAATGATCCAATCGCAGATAGATTTTTTGACGATATTGTACACAATTAAAAAGAAATATATGAAATATAGCGTGCTTATGCACATCATATTAGATTTACTGTTCAAGAGGATGACGGTAGTTTTTGGCCAAATTCAAGAAAAATTAAGTCGAATGACTTTTTATGCGCAAAGCTGGTTTTAAGAAAGGACTAAAGTTCAACAACACGGTGAAGTTCAAAAAGTGGACACAATGACTGATTTGCCCAACAATGATTTAATATGAATTTGATGTTCAAGGCAACTGAACAATTAAAAAATTTATAGAAAGTCTTAATCACTCCTTAGTGAAGCTTGGTGATAATCATCTTCTGCGTTATAGCAAAAATATAAGTGAAATCAATGCAAATGTGCTCATATCAGTGACGAAATCGAGGATTAGAACTATGATGCATTTAACTTTCTTGCTACAAAAGTTTGGGGAGCAGAGAAACTTGAATGTACGAAGAGTGATGCCTTTAATTTCATTAAAAAAGAGAGAAGAGCTATAATTGAAAATGGTGACACCAATTCTCTATCACAATTGTTCACGGAGAGAAAAATTGATGATAAAATGTTTGTAATTGATGAGTGCAGTAGGCTGATGAGATTTTTTTTTTGAGTGATGGGACGTCTAGGCTTCATTTTGACTAATTTGAGGATGAAGTTATTTTTTATACAAGCTATAGACTAAAGAAATATTATTTATGTTGTGTTTCACTTATTGGCGTGAACCAACATTGTCAAAATGTTCTCTTCGGATTTGGTTTTTTGTTGGACAAGACGATTGATTCATTCAACTGACCATTCAAAATATTTATTCGTATGATGAACGATAAACATCCAATAAAATCTTTAGTGATCAGGATCAAACAATAACAAAAATTATAGGATATTTTTAGAATTATGAATTGTTAGGTAATTGAATATATTTTGCTTTTCTACATCAAATATGATCTCAATTAATTTTCATATTTTGTATTGAAGAAATAATTTCAAATTTGAACAGCCTTCCAGATGGCCTATGAAAATGAGTTAAGCAGCTTAAACGAGCTCCAAAGGGGTGGTAGCCCGCATATAGAGCGTGAACTCACCTCTTTCAAAGTTCACCCCTATCATCTAATTATTCAAATGATTAATTATTTAGTAGTTAGTTCTTTATATGGATCTTCTTAGTAAAATTTCATCTAGTTAGTTATGGCTAATAAAAAAAATTCTTGAATGACAGTGATGTCATGGAGGACCAAAACAAATTATAATCCATATTTTATGGCTCATGGACACCTAATCCATGAAGGGAGGCAACAATCTCCTTGATTACCATATAAATCTAGCAAAATGAATATGCGTGCAAATTAATGGTCCGTTTGGGGCAGCTTGTGCGTTTCAGAATAAGCTGTTTATCCAGAAATGTGACCCGCGGGCCGGCTGCAGAGGTCAACTCACGGCCCGCGTTTAATGTAAAAACTCAAACGCAGTTTCATATAAGTTGGCGAAACGCGCGAACCAAACGGTACGACGGCTTTTTCAAAACTCCGCCCACACTTATAAGCCGCCCCAAACGGACCCTTAATGCTCGCTTTGAGGAAGATGAAGAAGTTGATTCAACATAGCATAATCTAGCTTTAATTAGGCCAATCTATCTTTATTGGATGATCAAGGTCTTTTAAACTATTAATTTGATTTCTCCAAGAGTACATGAAACCAATGCAACATTTTAAAGTTTATTCTTGAGTCAACTTCATTATCATGAACTCATATACCTGCCAATTTGATCAATATGAATAAGTCTTGTGGGTCTCTGGTTCATTGCTTCAAGCAACATCCCATTGTTAATGTCACAAGGGAAGCTGCTATTGACATACATGCATGTTTTATTTGCCTCTTCATTTAAAAAAGAATGAAAATCAATCTCATACATGCTATCATTTATAAAATTATCCATAAATTTGAACCAAGATTAAATATAATCACAAATTAAATTCAATAAAATTAATTATATATTTTATATAATTTAAATGAAGATAAAAACCTCAAAAGCTAAATAAAAAAATTGAAAAATGCATGACAATACATAATTAAATAAGATAATGCTTCAATGAATTATCTTAACCAACTTTCTAGACACACACCACAATTACATACATCAATATCATATCTAACTTCATATAATTCATCTAAACAACCATACATAACGTTTTATTCCACATAAGAAATTCATCAAATTATTCATTATTTAAACATAAATCACACAAATTAATGAGGACAATGGAAGTTAATCCTCAACATTTATAGTTAAATACTAATATAACCCTACTTAATTCATATAATTAGGTGCTTTCACCCATTGCTAATAAAGTGCTTAGGTTCATCGGGTTCATGTACTCGCTTGAACCAGTCATGAATTGGCCAACTATGATCCGGCTCGCCTTTGCAGACGGATGAAATGGGTCCCAAAAAGCATATAAATCCCGATTCGGACATAGATTTGGTGCCACCGTGCACAAACCCAAGCCATTGTAGGGTCCTTGCCCACAACAAGCTCTCTTTGAAGTAATAAAACCTAAAAAATTACAAAAATAAACCATTACTATTTCCATATAAACATTTGATTTTATATATATTTTAAAGCAAATTTACACTTTCATATCACACAATTCTTATATTTAGAGATCTAACATGTAAATTTTTATATAAATATTTCGTAATTTTCTTATTATACAATTACCAGAAGCCTGGGGGTTGGAAATGAAATCGGAATGCAATTTGGCGGTGTTGGCGGCAATGAAGACGTTGGAGTGGTACTGCGAATTGAGCTGATTTATGGTTTTCTCCAGCTGAGGGTTGTATAGTTCGGAGGCTCTCTGCAGCTCCGGGTCGCATGCGCCGTTTCTGCTTCTTTGTGCTAGCTCGGCCGGCACGCAACCCAGTGGGCCCGTCCCAGTCACCAGCACACGCCGCCCTCCCAGCTCATAAATCCTCTGCATTTCCATTATCACCCAAAAATTAAAATATATTTATATAATTATTATCCAAATATTCTAATCTAATTCAACCGGGAGTTAGAAAATAATCTTTAAATAAATATGAGAAATTTATATATCTAACAATTCCCCTATACATGCATCATTTTTCACTATGACAATTTATTCAAAAAACTATATTTTACACCGTTCCTGACTAGGTACGGTAGCAGTTTTCATCATATTATTTTTCAACAACTTATCAACTCATTAATAAGCTGCCCCCAAACAGACCCGCACCAAAACTTATAGGTGCGTTTTCTAAACAATTATAACCTATGAGTGCGTTTTCAATACCCACAACACCAAATAAGCTGCCTCAAATGAGTCCTTACATCTTCAACACGGCATACAAAATACCAATTTCTCCACCTCTTTTATGTTTAGATTTATAGCACCAATAGGTTATAAATCAAAATATCAAATATTAAGTGGTTTAGATATGTAAATTCGTAAAAATTGTGGTGAAATGATGTAAAACTTACCATGAGGATTTTCTTATACTCGGAGATGAGATAACGAACATAATCAGGAAGAGAATACTGGCGAGATCTAAAAGAGAAAGGAACCAGATAATAATTGTTAACAAAATCATTTCCACCCAGAGTTATCAGAACCAGCGCCTGATTCACCAATCTCTTAGCTGCAGCTGCGCCGATTAATGAGCTCAGCCTTTGCTGATACTGCTGGAAGTACTGCAACTGCTGTGAAATCCTGATTATATTTGCCTGAAATAAAATAATAATAATAATAATTAATATATAAATATATTAATTATAATATTTTTAATAATAAATAAATAATGCTCACAAACTGAATGCCAGTGTCGTTGAGAATTCCAATGCCTGCTGAAGCAAAATTTGCGCCTACGAGGAGCTTTTGTCCCCTCAGCTCTGGGCTTAAGTAAGGCAGGGTGGACTCAGCACCCAGGTGCTCGCCTGAAACCAGTAATTTGCATGAATGATTGAAGGTTTTACACATATATCCTTCAGTTACGATGTGTTTAATTACATATCTAACATGGTAGAGTTTAAATTTCATACATACACCACTTTCCTTATGGTTGTGAATGATTGGAAAAAACATTGTATCAGGATTCCGATGTGTTTAATTACATATCTAACATGGTAGAGTTTAATTTTCATACATACACCACTCTCCTTATGGTTGTGAATGATTGGGAAAAACATTGCATCAGGATTCCGTAGAGTTACGTGCGAAGTCCAATGAAATCACTTCACGTGAAGGTGACGGAAAAAGAAAAATATCTGCCCGGTAATATAGGAGAATATTTCCCCTCGCATTATTCCGTGTTATTCAGGTGTTATTGTGTTATGAGAATATTCTCGGTGTTATAATAACACAATAACAATTGAATAACACAATAATACATGAATATTACACAATAACACTTGAATAACACGGGAGGAATATTATTTTGTGTTACTGGACAGATTTTATTTTATTTTTCAGTCACCACCACCTGCGTGATTTCATTGTACTCCGCACTAAACTCTACGTGCGGAGTCCTGATGCAATATTTTCTCGAATGATTGTAAGTTAGAATGATGGTAATTTTGATGTGATATGGAATATTTAGGTAATATAAATGTAATAAGTTAAATAATCTCTTGTTGTTAGATATGTAAATAAATAGAAATTGGGTGGTATGAATATAAATGTTCCTAAATAACTTTTTTAATATGAGATATGACATTTAATTTAAAGAAGCATGAGGTTACTATCTTAATAAACATTGAATTTCCTTTGTATGTTCCTCTGAATTCCATATGGCGGCACGCATTGTAGGCCTTTACATAAACACCACAAAATTCTTATATATTTACATATATGTAATATCTAAACTTTCCTATTTTAGTGCATGACACCAATATCTTTTATATTCCATAAAAAGTATCACAATTATACGAGCCTCCAACCACTTCGAATGTGTTTAACAACTAGAGTGTCACCTCCTTAAGGCCAACTGTGCTAAAGGCGATTCGAACCCCCGACCTAAGCGGCCTTACACCAAGGAAGCCATCCAATAGGCTAAGGTACATGGCACAAGATTTATCATATATAAAAATCAATATATATACATTGATGTCATATTGTTATATATATTATAAGTGAAAGCATTTACTTCAATAAAACTAGTTGCCAAATAAAGCTACTCTTTTTCAATTATCCAAGATATTTTGTGTATGACTAATCATACGTTAATTGTCCTTTATCACCATTAACTCATAAATTACAATGTATATAACCTCAAATCATTTGAAAGCTTTCGTCCTTATTGGATAATGAGCATAAGAGAACTAACTGATAATGTCAGGAATGTTGAGGCCATTAGAGAACCTCCCGGTCGGTTGATGAGTCGGATAGTCGATCCCATAAGGAGGAGAGTCCGCTCGTGCCGTCGTCGCAAGATAGTTGTTATTTCCATTATCAACGAGCGAATCTCCGAACACGAAGAAGGCTCGAGATGCCTCAGCGTGCACTAATAAGCTCTCCAAAATGGCTAAACAAGTCAAAAAATAGAGAAAGGATAACGAAGAAGAAGAAGAAGCCATGCGTGGCTATAAAAATCTAACCTCCTTATTGAAAGATAGTGAAAATTTTGATTTTGGTCATAGAATAGGAGGCTTTATATTTATATTGGTGCATTGCTATCATAAATACATCTATATTTTATTAATTTTCATATGTTATAATTAATTATTCAATGCTTTTTGGTGAAGGTGTAGGCTCCATTTCCATCCACATTGAACAGAAAGCTAAAGCTTAAAGGTATTGAAGGCCATGCAGCATGCATGCAGCTCCATTAAACTTTAGTCTTTCTTTTCTTTGTCTGTGTGGAACAGCTGCAACTACCTTAAATAATGTTAATAAAATTTAATATATTCTGAAAAAATAATTTAGAAATGTTAATATTCTGAGGGATTTTAAAGTAAGAAATTTATGAAAAATAGAAAAATAAAAACTTTTATTTAATTCTCCATCCATCTTTGCTTGCAAGGTCTTGTGAACTCATCAATAATGAAGCACGGGGTGGATGGTATTGCGAATTTAATTTAGAGCTGTAAAGAAGGAGGTTTTATATATATTATATAATGTTTTTTATTGTGTTTCTCTAACTATATATATGTACATATACATACATACATACATAAATATATATATATATA